CTATTTGATATTCTGAGGGTCTAAACCTCAGGTATCTTCAATTCAGAATACATTTGTGTTAAAAGAGTTTGGTATGTATTTATGATAAAATACTGTATTTATCTGAAAATATTGAACTGATATCTCACGAGTGAAAAAACACTTTATGCTGGAGGTACTTTAATTTAATTCTGCCTCAATGTCACAATGAGTTTCAGAGACAGATCGTCATGATCAGTAATAAAACATGTATAAAACATTTATCTCTTCATGTCGAATAACACTATTATCTCATTTCATCATTGCACCACTCATGAGAATATCAATTTTGTCAGGTCAATGAATGAAATACACATGCTATTTGACAAGGACTGACGGATACTACTTTTATATTCTGAAGATGTAGGGGGTGGGGCCTGGGTTAGCGCCTGGGGCTTGGGCTGGACTGGGGGTGGGGTGGGCCTGGGATGGGGCTGGGGCGGGGCAAGGGCTGGGTTTAGTGTGATATTCTTGTGGAGTCACGTCAGGTATATTATGTATAGGTTGACAAACATTTGATAGATGATATCTTTTTCAATTATTTTAAATTTACATTTTGTTTCTTTCGGCCTGTTTTTGATAACGATAAACTGAACGCTAGGCACCAAACAGCCAACTAGTGTAAAGCAAATATTGTGTTTCTCAGTGAGAAATACTGGAAATAATTTTCCAACAGGTGACATTTCATTGTTTCCATATATTTGGACAAGGTGAGCTCCAGGACTTCTGACTTTTCTAGATTAGAATAAAATGTCTGTCTCAAACCTTGTTTGTTATCGAAGATTTCAGGGTCCTAAACCATTAGAAAGAAATCTTGACTCGGTAACCTTCACATTACAAGTAAGAAGTTATTGGAAACTGTTTAGCTCTCAGGGAACCAGAGGCCCTTGAGAAAATCTCGCTTTGAGTCTCTCATCTTGCCAGCTAGCAAGTGAAGCTGCTGTCGTCGCACTTGTTCACTGTCATCTTATTAACCTTTGAATCAGTCCATGCTCCTGGTGTTCATGTAACTAAACCGAGTGTGCCTGGTCAATATTGCCAATCTTGGAACTTCATGATCACTTAACATATGGACTCATGGCTTCATTCATAAAAATGTCAGGATTGTCAGCTGCACTACAAGCCGGACTCTGATTATGGTTCCTTAATAAGGTCGATGGGTATTGTTAGTTCCTTTTAACCTTGAAGTTTGTAGTTTATGTGACCTCTGATTACTTTGTGTGATGTTTCCTTTCTTTCATGGAAAGGATGCAGGTGCTTCAGTTGTGTAATACACATTTCCCAGAGTAGTGTCCCTTTCTTGATGGGATTGTTTGTCCCAGGGTCACCCAATCTTGATGAGGGCATGATGCCCTGGTTGTGTAAGATGCCGTTATTTGTGATGCAGAGTTGCATTTCTTTTCTGTACCAGGATCCACTCATAGTGGGTTTGAATCCCACAGTCTCCCTGATTATGATCCATAGATCATCAGAACTGTGCCATCGTCTTGGTCTTAGCAATACTTCAGCTGTCTGATGATGGCCTGTTAATAGAGTCTGGACCAAATAATCCAGTGATTGATATTATGAGCATCAATCCATACCATCTAGGTACATCAACCAAGTCACCAAGTCTGACCAACTGTTCATTTAAGTCCCTTCATAGGACAAGTGTAGGTTGCTGGGGACGTCTTCTAACATGGAGTCGCCACTGGGTATAGGCTGGGTGAAGCCCTGCTAATGATATCACAGGAAATAATTTTTACAATAAAAGTCCAGGGATGATGGCATCACTGGGAACAGATGGGATTTTCTGGTCCCTCAGCGTGAAAACAAAAAAATCGTCCCACTGATCAGAATTATAATTTCAGGAAGTCTCTGTTTGCCTGAAACAGGTACAGGGGAAAATCATGATTAACGATGTCAGAAGAAAATGGCTAAATCTAATTCTGTTGTCGATGTTTTTGTACCAGACAATGTACAGCAAAACTAGATTTAATAAATGATCATGTATATCAACCACCACTGTTGAGATATATTGTGTTGTCCTCAGGAAGAGTAAATCAATGATTGGCCGAATGATTCTTAAAAGGTGATGGTGTAGCATGTGATTGGGGCATGACCCCGAATGTTTCTGTACTCAATTTTTCAAATATAATTGATGGGTTCTTGTCGTATAGAAAACAATTGCAAGCGATTCCATGTCATTTGATTGGCTAACAGAGAAAAAAATAACTTCATGCCCAGGAAAAGACCACTGTTTCTTGATATTGGCTCATAATAGAATGGGTGTGGCTTTGGTTTCATTATTGTGCAGAATGATGTTGCTGATTTGTATTGATTTCTACAATTTTTGTGTTAATGAATTATTATTGTTGACATTTATTGACGCTGTTTGCACCCTATTTTTTACATTTATTCCCCCATTAACACAGCAAAATATTGAAGTCAGTTCTTTACTATACTACAAAATACAGTTCTGACAACAGACAGCAGACATTGATTGAGTGAGTTTCACTCAATGTGTGAGTGAATGAGTACAGTCAAGATAACTGGGCAACTAATGCTCCTTGCATGGTTAGACCACCTCTGGGATACACCTCTGAATGTATCATATGAAAAGATGTTAAGAGATGATACTTGTTGTTACCCTGCCTGGCACTCGGCATTAAGTGACTGAAACAAGGACTAGTCAGCCCGGAGTCAGCTTACTGTGTCTAGGAGAGGTTTTCATGCTAAACTGCAGCATATCTCAATGGGCTAGCACTATATAATTGGCATTTGTCCGGACTAGTACAATCAGCCACACACTCAAACGTGCATACACGTCACTATATAAGTGCAATAATCTTGGACGAGACGTTAAACCCCATTTCACCTCCCCTCCCCCTGTATAGTTAATAATGACTAGGGGCTGTAGTCAAGACATACTGACAAGAGCTTCTTGGAAGGACTGGAAATAAGCCGAGGCCGCATGCAATCCAAGCATGACTTGCATCTTGCAATGAGTAGAACCAATGGTAGAAAACACATTTACTTATAAATTATTGCTTGTGTTCTTGTGGAAGAAAAAGATAAATTACAGCATTTCAGCCACGCTGTTTTGTCCTTTATGTAGTTTGCATTGAAGCAGAATCTTGGTCGACTGTTTAAGCTGTTTTGCTGGGTGATGTACATTTGTAGGTGTTTTTGTTGAATGAACTGGTACAAGAAGCTGGTTGGACTTGGCATTTAGGTCTGTCGTGTAAATATTGGAATACATTCCAAACAGCGAGAACAGATACCCTTTTGCTCACTGTAAGATGGGTTATTTTCAGGTGCGTATGGAAATGTACAGATTGGATTTCAAATAATAAATATCTACTGATAACCAGAGGAACAACAGCCATCTTGCCCTTAAATCTGGGACCATGAAGATGTTGCAACTGTTGGTTCCATGTCCCAACAGACACTAGATAGTAAGCTGACCCCATTGTAGGTGGTGAAGCTTTTCTGTGCTGACTCTTAAATCACCTCATACTTCAACTGTTTTCACTCATTGATGTGGATCATCTGCACCCCTCGCCTGCACTTTCAGTCCATTTAGAAAAATAACAAGAAACAACTACCAGGTGCAACAAACAGTTACTGTTGCTCCCTGTGGGGATTCCAGGGCAGTATGGTTCCCCAGTACCCCACGCTGGTCCCCTTGGAGATTCCAGGGTAAGACAGTTCCCCAGTACCCCATGCTGGTCCCCTTGGTGATTCCAGGGTAAGACAGTTCCCCAGTACCCCATACTGGTCTCCCTTGGAGATTCCAGGGCAGTACAGTTCCCCAGTACCCTATGCTGGTCCCCCTTGGAGATTCCAGAGCAAGACAGTTCCCCAGTACCCCATGCTGGTCTGCCTTCGGGATTCCAGGGCAGTACAGTTCCCTAGTACTCCATACTGGTCTCCCTTGGAGATTCCAGGGCAGTACAGTTCCCCAGTACTCCATACTGGTCTCCCTTGGAGATTCCAGGGCAGTACAGTTCCCCAGTACTCCATACTGGTCTCCCTTGGAGATTCCAGGGCAGTACAGTTCCCTAGTACTCCATACTGGTCTCCCTTGGAGATTCCAGGGCAGTACAGTTCCCCAGTACTCCATACTGGTCTCCCTTGGAGATTCCAGGGCAGTACAGTTCCCCAGTACTCCATACTGGTCTCCCTTGGAGATTCCAGAGCAGTACAGTTCCCCAGTACTCCATACTGGTCTGCCTTGGTGATTCCAGAGCAGTACAGTTCCCCAGTACCCCATGCTGGTCCCCTTGGAGATTCCAGGGCAGTACAGTTCCCCAGTACTCCATACTGGTCTGCCTTGGTGATTCCAGAGCAGTACAGTTCCCCAGTACCCCATGCTGGTCCCCTTGGAGATTCCAGGGCAAGACAGTTCCCCAGTACCCCATGCTGGTCCCCCTTGGATTCCAGAGCAGTACAGTTCCCCAGTACCCCATGCTGGTCTCCCTTGGAGATTCCAGGGCCAGACAGTTCCCCAGTACCCCATTCTGTGTCTGAGTTGGGTATCTATGTTGATCTGCGTCATGGCGTCTCAGTAGGCTAGCACTATAAAACTACCATTAGTCTGTACCAGTACAAGGAGCCACATACACACATACATATGCATGTACGTTGCTATATAAGTACAATAATCGTAAACGCAGCGTTAAAACCCACAGAGGCAAGGCACCACAGACTTGATGCACTTAAAACAGTTTCCCCAATAAACATGTTGGATTTATTTAATATCGTTTGGTTTCAGAATGTAGTACAAAAGAACACTGGAAAAATTTGATAGTTCTGACCCGATCTTTTCAGTTGAGATTTCCATGCTGGATCATCAATTATCATGAAGTTTAACACTCATTAATGTGTTTGGAGGAGAAAATAATTGGATGTGACCTTCTGATTCAGCTGGCGAGCGGCCTTAATTCTTGATTTTATTTGAAAATTAGAGCAATATTAATTTTTTTGTGTTATGTTTTCAGATCGGAAGTTTGTGATAGCCAACGCTCAAGTAGAAACCGTGCCCATTATCTTCTGTAACGATGGATTCTGTGAGCTTTCCGGATACTCTCGTGCTGAGGTCATGCAAAAATCGTCCTTATGTGACTTTCTTCATGGACCTCTCACAGGGCACTATGCGATAGTTCAAATACGGGAGGCATTACAAGGATCTGAGGAGAAGCAAGTGGAAATACTCTACTACAAGAAAGATGGTGAGTGCATACATTCTGGTCACATGACTGTCACATCTGGGATTTCACCATTTGTCGCATTTAGACATTTAGCTCAGCAGGTCACATGACAGCTGTATCTGGAACTTCCATTGACAGATTTCAGGATTGATGTCAGATTTACACGTTTAGCTCAACAGGTCACATGACAGCCGCATCTAGAATTTGCATTGCAAGATTTCAGCATTGACATCAAACTTACACGTTTAGCTCAACAGGTCACATGGAGAGTGTATCTGGAACTTCCATTGACAGATTTCAGGATTGATGTCAGATTTACGTGTTTAGCTCAACAGGTCACATGACAGCTGCATCTAGAATTTGCATTGCAAGATTTCAGCATTGACATCAAACTTACACGTTTAGCTCAACAGGTCACATGGAGAGTGTATCTGGAACTTCCATTGACAGATTTCAGCGTTGATGTCAGATTTTCTCATTTAACACAAACAGGAAAGCGATCGTAGTGCTACGTTGGTCGTAACTCCCATACTTTATCATAGGCTTATGATCAACATAGCAGTGATGTCGCTTTGTGGAACGGGGCCCTGGTCACATGACAGCTACATCTTGAACTTTCACTGCAAAATTTCAACATTGATGTCAAACAAAGTACTCTTAGGTTTCCCTGATTTTGGACCAGGTCAGAGACTCTGTTCATCACACCCTTTGCCTTGGAACACACATGTTATACTAAAGAAAGCCTGGTTGTTTAACCAATCCTCTTATGGAAACTTTGAAAGAAGTGTCCACTGCATTGCATCATAGAGAAATGAATTGTTTGTTATGTAGTAGTCACCTTCATATTTACATCAACAAACAACGTTTCATGTCATTTGACCCAATTATCATCATTGGTCTGTCAGCACCAATCACAGACACCACAGAGGTGTTGGCCTAGTGGGCTAAGGTGCTGCAATTTGCTGTGCACTGAGTTTGAATCACAGATTAGACCTGTTTATGCTTTAAGTTTTGTCGGGGCGGTCGGGTAGTCTAGTGGTTAAAGCGTTCGCTCGTCATGCCGAAGACCCGGCTTTGATTCCCCACATGGGTACAATGAGTGAAGCCCATTTCTGATGTCCCCTGCCGTGATATTGTTAGAAGATTGCTTCACACCCTCTCACTTTCTTTAGTTTTTGTCAGGACCGCATCCATGCTCATGGGTTTCACCATGCTCGAGGGTTTCACCAAAGTGGTACACACCTAAGACTAAGACTTGCGAACATCATCGACATGCCTCGATATTACTGATAGAGCTGAATATCGCCTGGTATCTTGCAATATGATTCATATCATGATACGGACTGATGATACTACTGGTATCACGATGCACCACATCAAATAGTAAGAAATGATGAAATCACTGAAATACAGCTCTAAAACCTCTTTCTACATACATTTATTTATTCTTATCTCAAGAACTTTAACAAGGAAAACCACAAGAACAAAACTGTTTTGAATGAAGGGATGGTTATTATATGAAACAGTTAGTTGGTGGTCCTCGGCTACCACATCCCTGTGTTCTGCCATGCTTACAGGTGGGGCTATGCTTCTTCTGCAAATAGGGGAGGTAACTCTATTTGTTCCTGTTCTATTTATAGCATATAACATTCTCGCAAACTGATGATTCAAGTATCATGTGTAACTAAGTATCGATGATATCGCAGTTATTGGTGAATCGTTACAGCCCTAGTAACTGGAATACTGTTCAAGCCATCATTAAACTCAATCTACTTCTACAGGAAGCCAAGAGACCACTACTGTTCCAAGCCATATTAGGTCCAATACTCCCTCACTTCTTTCATATATTTGTGACAGAAGAAGAAATGACACATGAAGATTCATGTCAGTTGATAAACCTAGCCTAGGTTTCATGTCCGAGGTTCATTGCAATAAATCTTTAGAAAAGTATAAAAAGTAAGATTTACTTTGGCAGTTCCATTTAATATTAGTTCCTTATTCTGAGCATCGAAATGCCAATTCCTCCCACAGGAGTCGGAGTTCATTGACATGATGCTTAACGAACATCATTCCCAAGGTTTCTTGTGAGGGAATGAGACGTGTGTCACCCGCAGCCATTATTTCCCATGGGCCCTCATTTCCATCTTGACAGCCATTTTGCTCGCCGCTTCCATGCTCTGGCATCATGCATGACAGCTTGCAAATTATGGTGTTTGTGACTATTCAAAAATTGTCACACATCATTCAGAACATTACAAAAAATCCATGCTTAAATAACTGTTGAGAATTCAACAAGTGAAAATTAAATTTGAGGTTGAGGAACATAAAAGAATAGAATGCAGTTTAGCTCATGGCAATATTTTCTATTTTGAACTGCACTAGGGTTTGCAGCTGAAAAACAGTTGTAGTTCAAGTAATTAACCTCTTTTGAGTTATCAACTACAAAATTCACAAATTTCCTCAATAATATGTCTTTAGGAGATTTGTTGGAAATTGGTGAAATTCTCACACTGTGAAGGAATTTAATCAGTATTGGATATACATCCATCAAACTGATACGGTCCGTATTTCCCTGGAGGGCTAAAAAGGAAAGATAAATAGTTTGATCATATCCAATGAGAAAGGAGCAATCCTACTGTGTTCTTGCCTTTGGTTTTGGGTGAAATTTGATGTAGATTGATAATCCTGGAAGAAGATGTGCAAAGATTTCTTCTGTCTATCAGATAAGGATTTATTTCTAAAAAACATATCCAGTTAATGAAAAAATAATTATGAAAAATATAGTGTACACATGTAGCATTGGTTCCAAGGAGAATGATGATCATTTTGTATTTTTGACCCTCAGCAGATGTCTTATAAAGAGGACTTGTTCCTAAATATGAAGAATGACTGATTTAGTGATCCACTCATATAATTTTCTCGCTATTTTCGCCCAATGGAATCTGTTTCCGCAGATAATCGAGACTGATTATTCTCTGGCGTTGACGTTATATATTTGCAAATGTTGTAAATGTCGGTCAAAGGCGAGGTGATACACATGGGTCAAAGAGAGTCATACCAGAGAATTGTGTCTCTGTTGTAGCTATGTGAAGCAGTTCTCCAGGGTGAGTGAGGGAATCATGTTAAGGGACAACCTTACTCCACTGGGGCACTACTAATCTTTTTCGTTACTTTACAGGTTGTCTTGGTTACCTTTTAGTAATTAATTTCCTAAATCATCTTGACATTAATATTATTAGGCAAATGTACATTTTTAGATAAAAGTATGCATCTATTCAAACCAAGCTAATTGTTTTCAACTTTCATAATCATTCTTTGCAAAATTTAGGTCAGGGTCATACATAAAACTGGTACCAAATTGGACAGCACACAAAATGGACAAGTTGGGCAGATAAAGACACAACTATTTGTACAAAAATCTTTTGTTTATGTTTGAAGTTAAATACTGTGCAGCAGCTACTGTAAGAATTAGGTTAGGGACTTTGACCATTTAATATAGAGGGGAGGATGTGTGTGCTACTGCCAGACGTTTTCTTCTCCCTTTTCTGCTAAAGAAGGAGCAACAGAACATAAAACGGCACACTCAGAAATCAAATTCTTATAAATAAACGTGGCAAAAACCATTTTCAAAAACATAAGAAATCCCCATCAAAAGCAGGGTACCTGGTACGATTCCTATATCATAAACATATGGTCATTAATCATTATCCAATGGTGATGATAACTTGTGTTAGAGACAAAATTATTTTTGGTGACATTTCTTTTCCTTTACAAACTATTTTGTTCAAAAGAATTTGCCAACCCCTCCCAGAATATCAAATGGCTGTCCCCTTAGCATTTTGTTCCTCAGAAGTCTTATTATAAGGATTGGATTTTGTAGCTCAAGAAAATATGTCATAAAGGGCTCATCAAAAGAAGAGACTGCTTCAGTTTACATGAAAATAGAAAAAACTGTGCAAGAGATTCTGCTTTATGACATTATCCGAGTTTGATTGACGCCTGCTTGTCCCAGTAAGATGATAACCCGGCATTAGGGAGTTATAAATAAGTCACATCTACTATTGGCTCCCACTTTATAGCAGGTTTTTCCTGATTGATGTGTTTGAAAAGATACAGCAAAGAATTTGGTCTTGGCAGCCGAAGACCATGGAATTAATAAATGTCATTTCGGATCACATTGATTGGAACATTGTGCAATCTTTGGATACATCAACCTGTTTGGGGTTCTCTTCTTGTGACTCGTTGAATTTCTTTGGAACATCTCTAAATGTCATGACTGTTGAACTTTATGCCAACAAGCTGTTTAAAGTTGGGATAGAATCTAAGAAGGTGAACATTTTGTTTTCTTACAAGATACGAAGTCAGTAGTTGCAGTGTAGCAATGGTTCAGTGGAGATGTGGCATTTTTTATGTTTTAGATGTGCGTAAAGGTGTCGCTGTGTGTGTTAAGTGACTTCAATAATGGAAAACCTACCTCTTTTAAATGACTTCATTAAAGTAATGATTGCCTCTGTAAGGACTACATTAGAGGGAAACCTGCCTCTGATAGATGATTTCATGAAGGCAATACCTGCCTCTGTAAAAGGACTTCATTATAGGTATACCTGCCTCTGCTAGAATACTTTATTAAAAGGGCACCTACCTCTGTTAAAGGACTTCATTGTAAGGGCACCTGCTTCTGTTAAATTACTTCATTAAAAGGGCATCTGCCTCTGTAAAAGGACTTCATTATAGGTATACCTGCCTCTGCTAGAATACTTTATTAAAAGGGCACCTGCCTCTGTTAAAGGACTTCATTGTAGGGGCATCTACCTCTATTAAAAGGACTACATTGAAAGGGCACCTGCCCCTGTAAAAGGACTTCATTATAGGGATACCTGCCTCTGCTAGACTTCATAAAAAGGGCACCTACATCTATTAAAAGGACTTCATGGAAGGAGCACCATCTCTGTTGAAGGACTTCATTACAGGGACACCTGCCTTCCTATCTAAAGAGTTCATACGGGATCACTTTCTTCACC